TTACGTCTCTTTTTTTGACGCTGTGACCTCTCACTAGAAAGTTCCACAGAAAGCTGACTCTCATTTAAATTACTTGCATCAAATTCTAAATCACTTAAAGATTTTTCTGCCTTCCTCTTGCACTGCGAGGACCTCTTTTTGTTAGGACTTGGAACTGGATTTAAGTTTATCCCTTCTAATGCACTTTCCCCTAGCAATTTTTCTTCTTTTCTTTTGGGAGGTAGTCCAAAATACACACCTATATCCATTTGCTTCATTACCTTGGTAGAAGGATGTCTTGCATTACACTCAAGACCAGAAGGCAATATTTTCAAATACTTAGGAGCAGGTGTACTAGAAAAGTTTTCTGTACTTAAAATTGTAGCTTTACCAACGGGCACACCATCTAATGCCTTTCTGCAGCAACATGCTGAGTTAGTATTATTCTTAGCATTCAAGTTCTCACTTGATAATTTTCTAATTTTACTTTGGGTTGGTTGGGAAGAAAGATACCCTTCTCCCTGACTTTCAAAAGGTTTCAACATTGAACTCTTAACTAACGGAAGAGAAACCTGATTGTAAACAGCTGATTCTTCAATTACCTGTTTCTGTTTATGTGATTGAGCTGAGTGAAATTCTGGCTCATCTTGTTTTGCTTTAGCTACCTGATGAACAGAAGCAGCAAGCTTTCCTGCCAATGCAGGTGGAAACAACACAAAATCACCACCAGTACATGCCAGATCATAAGGCAAAGTACTCTCATTATTTTGGGAAATAGGTTGAGACAAATCATTTAGACTATTGAATCTATACAATCCTTCATCATACTTATCCTGAGTTAAGAAGCTGTTCATTTCGCGGCAGCTCTCATCCTGGTCCTTCAGTAAGGGACCATGTCGTTTTTTAAAAAAAGCACAGCTGTCATCATCTTCTTCGAGGCTGCCATCTTTAGAGCTTTCGGTAAAAAATAGTTGTTGTTGTGAATCATCCAGTTTTTCATCGGTATCATGAGTGTCTTCATCACTTTGAAGTGGAGAATAGGAGATTCCACAGTCGCTAAAGTCATTTTCTGGCAATGGTAAATTTATGTGTTCTGAGTTGTTTGCAAGACGCAAAGCAACTCCTACCAGTTTGTCATTCTCAACAAATTCTGTAAATTGTAGAGCTTGTTGGGACGTTTGGATATTAGCAGAAATCTTTTCACTGGCTTTGGTTGGAGATGGAGACTTTTTTAAATACTGTGTCATCAGTAACGGATCACTTGAAACCAAGTTATTGGTTTGGCTCTGATACGAAGACCATCTTTCCTCAAGACTACAAAGAACACCTGACTTGGTCTCACTGAAACTGCCACCTGATGCAGGTGATGGGCTGCTAAAAGGATGATCACCAGCCCTGCTTTGAGCTAGCAGGAAGTGAGTGTATCTCTTGTAATGAAAAGGAATGGTTGAGGTACACAGAAGACCATCAGGACACTCTGAAATTTTAATAAAGAAAAAAAATTACAGGATCAAAGAATAGACTAAGCTTTGACAACATTAGCAGTATAAATTGGGTTCCATTATTTAACATTCACGTTGTATACAATAAAAAGTAACAATTCTAATAAGAGTAGTTATAATTGTTGATACGCTGAACAAGTTTTAGATTCTATTCTAAGAATAGAATTTGAGAAATTGGTTAATTATAAGGCTTTACTAATTTGGAAACTATTCCCTGTCATACTACCATGATTGAGAAACTTTCTATAAGCCATCTTGGCATATCCCTGTATATGTTAATTTCCAGGTTTATCAAAAAATGACACCTCCCTCCCCTCAAAAGGATGTTATATTTCTTATATTAAATTAGAAAACGTCATGGCTTACAACCTAACTTAAAAATGCCTCTTAAAAGCATTTGTTATAGAATGGAATTTAATTCAAGAGAGCCATCTGAGAGTCTATTCACAGGAGTTTAGTGAAAAACCGAAGGAAAATTTTTTTGAGGTGGCTTCATCCATAAGACATTTCACCCTAAGGTCTTCAATCACGGACTCCAATTTCCATTCTTGATTTTCAAGTTACATGAAAGCAAATTACTAGCAAATTTATGAGGTTTTCACTTGCTATCCTTTTATGGGAAAGGCTAATGCCAAATTTAAAGAAGAGGTTTTTTTTGTGTGTGTCTTCATGCAGTACTTTAAAATAACTACAGGTTAACAATAAAATTTATTCTGAATCATAGCTAACATGAAAGCCATATTGAGTATTTTTTTATTTTACCGAATTTAACTTTTTTAGATGAAACAATCTATATATGGAATATAAATGATTTTAAAATATAAAAATAATCACAACAACCCGTTGTCCATATATATTCCAAGTAGGATTTTCTACGTTAAATACTTATTACATATTTTAGAAGATTAAAAAAAGCATACTTTTATTATCATTTGACACATTTATTGTTAGAATCTTAATCACCTAAGACTCCCTCACAGTTCCTCTTCCTGTATACATTAGCATGATGACTAAAACATAACCATATTTAGAAACCATACTATATCTATACTTTTTTTTTTTTTTCAGACAAGGTCTCACTCTGTCGCCCCCGCCAGGCTGGAGTGCAGTGGCATGATCACAGCGCCCCATAGCCTCCACCTCCTGGGCTCAGGTGATCCTCCCACCTCAGCCTTCCAAGTAGCCCACCACACCTGGCTAATTTCTGGTATTTTTTTTTTTGGTAAAGACGGGGTTTCACCATGTCGCACAGGCTGGTCTTGAACTCCTAGGCTCAAGTGATCTGCCTGCCTCGACTTCCCAAAGTACTGGGATTACTGGCATGAGCCACTGTGCCCAGCCTATTTATAGTTTTCTAAGGAGTTCCATAAAAATAACCAACTGGGCAAGTTACTTGACTTTTAAGAACTTTCATCTATAAAATGTCAATACTACCTACCTTATATGGTGGTTGTGAAAGTCGGGTAAGTAAACAGTGTGAAAGTACCCAGCATAGTAAGGATTCAATTAACATTTATGGGAAATAATCCAGATACTTAGGAACTTTTATGAAATAACCCAACGTATTTAAACTGTTTTCTAGTCTGCCATTTTCTTTACTATTATACCGTTGACAAGTATGGGGGGTGTCTCCCAGTGTCCCATCTCTCTTTTAGTTTACTGCTTGCCTTCCTTGTTTCACTGAATTGGTATGTCTGACCTAATGAAGACTTTTTAGATGATTTAGAAACTGCTAGCTTTTCTGCAGTCTTACCTGTTTCAGAGTGTGGTGGAGAATCCAAACATTCAAAAACATGCCATCGAGGTGTCTGCCCTATCAATGAGGAAAAAGGCATCTGGCAATTTGGACAGTATCCATCATAAACTGGACGTATCTTTGGGGACACGCGTTGGCTTCTGTGAGTTCTACAGAGCTTTCCTGGAGTAGTCTCCTTGTCTTGGGTGTGCTGAATACTATCTCCACAACTTGAATTCTGACTAGAAGCTACAGAAGTCTGACAATCTGCATTTTCAAGGGGCATTTCATGGTCCTTCACCTCTTTAGCTTCTGTGGCTCTTTTTCTGTTTCTATTTCGTTTTGACTGGTGTTTTCCATCTGTTCCTTTTTCAACAGATTTTGGAATATTTTTAGAGCCATTATCTGGATCAACTCGTTTTGGTTTTCTTTTAGATTTGTATTCCCAAATGTCTTCTTCGGAAATGTCTTCTAACATGGCAAAATGATTTTATCATTCAAGAAGTATTAATCTTAAGTAAATTGAGAGTCCATTTCTTGTCACAAGAAGTTATAGAATTATTTTGCTGGGAAAACAAAGGTAACAAAACCCCCACCAACTCAATGGGAATCTGGAATGTTGGTAATGCACATATCGGCAAGCTACAAACCTTGTATCTGACAACACCTGCTGTTCCATACATACCACAATAAAACTAAGATAAACCTATCACAGGAGCAGCAACTGTGGAGTTCTCCATTATGGGTGCTATTTCGTTCAAATATCTTGTCCTTTTCCAGGACTTGATTCATAAAAATAAGAATAATACTTCGAAAATTAAGCACTAATGGGAAATATAGGTTCAACAGCTTAATCTTAGAATGAGCTTTGTAACATTGTTATGAAGCTACTGTCGTTCTCTCAAGTGGACAACCGTCCAAATAATTCATAAATCCAACCACACTCCCTGGACAAGTGGATCAACAGGTATCCTAAACACTAAATGGCTATCTCAGTTTACCAACAAAACTAGTCACAACATAATCAAAGAGATGTGTAATTCGCAAAAAACTGCGAAGTCACTGCCATTATCCACGACTAGTGGATACTCAACCACTTCAGTTTCCCGGGACAGTCCATGATCTTCCTCCAGCAGCAATGAACAATCCCTGCACAGTGAACAAGAAAAGTTCAGATATGTGAAAAAAGTTCAAATATGTGAAACGGTGGGCTTGTATTGAGGTCTGACTCCGTATTGCACCCATGGTTCCGAAGGTGGCCAGCCCTCTGTCCACCTCAAAACAGGGTCACACGCCAGCCTCTCCCTTATCTTCTGGCATTAGAGGCTGCAAGGCCAGGAAGCGGGGCCTTAACCCTCTCCAGGAAGCACAGCCAGCTCCAAAAAAGCCCTCAGAGTCCTCCCCTTTTGAAGACTCTGAGGTCTGCCCTCAAGGACCCTCGCGCCGCCCACCTGCCACTCGGCGCCCCAAGGGAGCCGCTCCAGCTGCATCCGCTCCCCTCCGCACCCCCACCTAAAAATCTGTTCGCACCCGCACTTTCAGCACTCCCAGATGACAAAACGCTGTATTTGTAAGTGAATGCCATTCGCGCCAGTCACTCCCAGCTTACAAAACCTTCTCTCTGGAGGTTATCCCTACCCCCTTTACCTTTAGCGTCTTGGCGGGAACAACTTCCCGCTGTCAGTGCCGTGTCGAATCGGCGGATGCTGGTCAAAGAGAGAGACTTTAAAAATACTTAAAAAAAAAATAGGTTGCTCTTTTAAGTCCTACGGATTTATTGTATTTTATTTTTGTTCGGAAGCCTGCTAATTCCCAATGTGAAGGGTGGGGGATGGTTCCCTTTGGGCCTCTGGGACGCTGTTCCTGAGGCCTCATTCCATGTTGAATCTGGCGCTCTCAATGTCCAGGCTCGGCTGCGGCGTGGGGACCGAGAAGGGGCGGGGTGGGTCGGGACGGCGGTTTAATTGCGTGCCCGGGAACTGCGCCGATTTGGACTTTTGGCACTTGGACGTATGCTTTAAAAAGAAAAAAGTGTCATTGGCGTGGAGTGGGGCTAGTGGAGGGTGAAGTGAATGCGCCGTTTGGAAACCACAGGACAGTGAACGTTTTGTCTTTCCCAGCGAGACTCTCCCGCGAGCCCGGCGGCCGCCTCGGGAGCCCGGCGGAAACATGGCGGCGCCCGGATCCCGTGGCCGCAGCCTCTCCGGCCTGCTCCCCGCGCAGACCTCGCTAGAGTACGCCCTGCTCGACGCCGTTACCCAGCAGGAGAAGGACAGCCTGGTCTACCAGTATCTGCAGAAGGTGGACGGCTGGGAGCAGGACTTGTCAGTACCCGAGTTTCCGGAAGGTGAGGGGCTGGCGTCGGGGTGGGGGCCCCTCCCGGCACCTCCCCTTCCTCGGGGACGGCGCCCTCCCCCGAAGCGGGGGGCTAAGCGGGTATGTGTCGCTGGCGCCCCAGGGAGTGGCCCTTCGCCTAACTTGGGCCGCTGCTTGCGTACTCTGCAATTCCCAGGGGTCCCCAGGAGGCCACCGACTGGGGATTTCCCTGGCACGGGGATCCATATACTCGCCTGTGTATCCTGAGTCCCGCCCGCGCCTGATAGTCAAGTAGACACTCCGTGAATGTTAAGTGTCCCCGGTGGCAATGATTGCAACGTCCACACCATTCTATCCATTCAGTGTGGTTCCCCAGTGTCATCTCATCTTTCGGCATCATCTTGACACTTATTGATCACTTTTTCATGTATAACACACTTCCTTTTTTTTTTTTTTTTTTTTTTTTTGATACGGCGTTTCGCCCTGTCTCCCAGGCTGGAGTACAGTGGCGTGATCTTGGCTCACTGCGACCTCTGCCTCAGCCTCTTGAGTAGCTGGGACTACAGGTCTGCGCCACTACGCCTGGCGTGTGTGTGTGTGTGTGTGTGTGTGTGTGTGTGTGTGTGTGTTTAGTAGAGACGGCGTTCCACCATGTTGGCCAGGCTGGTCTCGACCTCTTGACCTCAAGTGACCCTCCCGCCTCCGTTTCCCAAAGTGCTGGGAGTACAGGCTTGAGCCACTGCGCCCTGCTTGCCACACACAGTCCTAAACGTTCATTCACCTCTATAGCCCAGTGAGGTGCTCGTATCATTTCTCTTTTACAGTTGAGGAAATGGAAGCACAGAGAGGTTAAATAACATGCCCAGGGCCTCACAGCTGATAACTGCCCCAGTTGGATTATACAGACCCTAGATTTGCTGGTTTCTTAGCTGTGCTGTGCTTCTCCGTTCAAAGTCGTGAAACTAATACTTTTAAAAATTAGAATCAATTATAGCCTGTTTCCAGGGTTTAAATCCTGGCTATGTGAGCTTTTGGAGCATGAAGGAATAGATATTCCCAGCAGGGATGTTTGTGAAGCACATCTTGCCATGATAAATGAAAACGTATTTTACCTTCTTTGGATGGGAGTAGCTTTGCTTTGCCTGGTGGTTCTGGCATGTGTCCTGGCGTGACACTGAAACCACATGTATAGTTAATTGGTTGGATGTGGCAGAGTTCAGTTATCTCATGGGAGGTATACCGGAACCAGCCTCTAGAGTATTTGGTGTCTTTCCAAGCCTTTTGCACTACCCACCTTGAGAAGTGCTTATTTTTCCTACTATTAATCTTATACTGGATTTGAAATATTGTGGAATTATTACAAAAGAATTGGGTACATGAAAGCTTATCAAATCAAATAAACTTTAAAATATTGTTTACATCTATACAAATAGATGATTTAAAAAAATTTTGGTACAGAAGGTAGTTATATAGTTAAGTACACTGTTATAAACAAGCAGGCCATCAACTGGGATTTGGGGAATGTTTTTTATTTTCTAGTCTTGTTTGTATTTACAGGGAGTGTATTTTATTCCCATGAGATTTGACTTCTGTGACTCATAAGTAAAAAAATACAGTAAAATATTCAGGGTTTGTGTTTAACATAGTATGATTTTCTCCTGGACCCGATTATTGAGGACAGAATGCTGGAAATGACTATTTTCTTGGTTTCTTTAGCGGTAAACTATAATCAAGAAGTCATAAACATAACTTTATCTAAAACACTGTATGCTTTATTTCTTAGAAGACTTACGTGTTTATGGGTGACAGTGCAGTGTAATGGGTAGATTCACACAGACCTGGAATTAGATCCTTGTTATTTCCATTTTGTTGTTGTGTGATTTTGAGCCAGTTACTTGACCTCCAAGGCTTATATTTCTCACTTGCAAAATTGAACTATTATTTACCTTTCAGGATTATTATTTGTTTCGAAAGTAATATATGTAAAATTCTTAATTTACAGGAAAGCTTACTAAATGTTAGTACCTTTTTATTGTATTCATTGTAATTATTGTTATTATAAAATACATTATTATTAAGTCTGGTAAGTATCTAGCACAGTAACTGAGATGTAATAATTCTTTCTATACCCCCAGATCTAAGCCACTCTTGACTGTTTACAGAAAAATCATAGAAGACAGATTCATAAATATTTTGCAAGTAGGATTTGAAATATACATTAATTAGTGTGAAGTTTTGTATGATCACTTGATCTGGTATATAACTAATACTTTAGCAAAATGGATAATTGAGGTCACTGTATACTGAAACCTCGTTAGTTTGGACTAATTGACCCAAATACTAGTTTGCTCTGCAGATTTTTTTTTTCTAGAATTTTGTTACGATTGAGTAGCTACAGTTATTGTTGTTAGTCATTAGTTGTTACTGTTTACTTATTCCTCTTAACTTTGGCTTTCAGTTGCTGCGATTCTAAATACCTGCTTCAAGGTATAATTAATAGTTGTAATAGCTGCATTAAGTTATTTATAAGCAGTAAACTTTGTTTTCTTAAATTGATTAAATAGAGATGCTGTACTTTATTATTAGTTAACAAAATCTTCATAGTACAGAGTTTACTTTTTTTGGAGGAAAGGGAACACGTTTTTCATCAATATTAATGTTACCTCAATGAAATCTATAACAACAATAAGTGTATTTTGCTTAACTTTACATTTAACATATTTTATTTTGTATTTACAGTCTCATTCAAATCCAGAATATTTCAGTTTCTTCTCCTTTAGGAAACTGGCTTAGGCATTTTGTATGTTTATCCTTACACACATTTCACTCCTTTTTGATGTTTAGTTATGTCTTACTATTCTTAAGCTTGACCTTTATTCTGGGTAGCCCATTTGTATCTAATTGTTTATGTAATTAGGTTGATTTACTATTTGATATTTCTTCCTTTTTTTTTTTTTTTTTTGCCTAAGTGTGTTGCCCTTACTCCTTTTCACAGACTATTACACTCTTTCTGAAAGAATTTAGTAGCTTTTTCTTGCTTTATTTGCGGACGGCATTATAATAGCCAGCTTTCCCATCCTCTATTCCTCCTGCTCCCCAACCCGTACCCCCATCCCTTCCTTTTCTTTCTTCCCTTTTTGGGCTTTTAATCTCCATTGATTTGCCTTCTTGGTCTTTTCTTCCAAACCACAAATAATCTGTTTAGTCACAGTCATACAGATATGTCTTTTATTTCTTTTGTTGATAGAAAATGATGGTTCATAGTAAACAATAGTAAATAGCATGCAACTGCCACAGCCTTTAAATGGTGCTGCTTTCTCTTAAAGTGTTTGACTATTCACATTAGTCTTTAAAAAAAAAAAGGATCACATTTTAATGGAAAGTTTCAGGTAAATTCCTTTTCCCTTTAATCATTGTAATTTATTTTATGTAAATTTCAGGATTAGAATGGCTGAACACAGAAGAGCCTATTTCTGTCTACAAGGATCTATGTGGAAAAATAGTCATCCTTGATTTCTTCACCTACTGCTGCATAAACTGTATTCACCTATTGCCTGATCTCCATGCATTAGAGCACACATACTCTGATAAAGGTATCTGCTCTTTAATTAGTTTCTAACAGACTGTTCTGGCATAGTCACTGGAAGAGTGGCTGACTCATTAGCTCATAGGAGAATGAACATTTGGCAAGACTTCAGTGATTCTAAAAGTAATCTCTAATCTGTGACATGTACCTTTTCATAAAGGGTTAAGCTTAGTGATCGTGGTCTGCCTATCTAAAGAACCAGCATTTAGTATATGGTTTTTTTCTCTGAGGCTAAGGGCATAATTTGCTTTTTTCATGATCAGGTATTTTAAAAGGTCTTTGTATGTTGAGGTTTACTTAAATTTTTTCTATTAAAAAAATAAAATATATGACCTTAATTTTATACTCTTTTCACTGTGATATAAAGGTTTAAAGTTCTTATTAGGAAATGTGACTAGGCTTTCATTAATATTGAATGACATTAACTGCAGTGGAATGCCAAATATAACAGATACTCTTTCATTGACCCTGCTTCATTAAAAAATGATTTATTACAGCTAATGTTTTTCAAAGCACACTAGGAAATCCATTTTTATGGTATTACAGATTCTAAAGATGTAGATTACACTTATTGGCTTTAGAAGTTTGAAAAATTAATTTTTTTTTTTTTTGGTTTACTTTCTAAAAGAGCATGGGAGTAAATGAAATTAATTAAAGGTACCATTTAATTAGGTTTAAATGAATTGAAGCGCTAATCTTAGAGTGGATTAAAAAAAGGAGATGGGGTCACCAATCCTGTGATAGTAAAGATGAGAATAGACGATATATGTACAAAAGTAAAAGATATTCTGAAACTAAACTTTAAAGAGGAAATGATAGAGAAATCTTCAGTGCAACTTAAACTTCAGATGCTTCTGAATTGTAATAGATTGTATATTAAAATTACCAGTCAAATGATTTATCAAGAACTCAAATATTTCTACTAGCTAAATCCTGTTATTAAAAATATATCTGTATGGATTTAAGAAATGTGGATATCTTATCTCCTAGGTTTTGGATGCCAGTGTTTCTTGTTCAAGACATCACATTTATTGAACATGTTGTTATGTGCAGGGTACTCTGCTAACTGCTGAGGAAATATGTAACAAAATTGAATAAAAAGCATATGGAACCTGAGGAAAGGAGTAAGTCACTTTGCCTAGAAACATTGGAAAAGATTTCTCAGAGAAGGAAACAATTGAGCTAGAACTTGAAAAATGAGCAGGAGTGCAGCTGAAAATGAAAATGGGGCAGAAGGGACAATCCTGGCTGAGGAAGCGTCAGGTAAACAAGCATGGAAGCACAGAGGAGTAGGATTCTTGCTCCAAGAACAGGTAAATAATTTAGTGTGGCAAGATTGTAAGGGTTCATGGTAAAAGTAAAAGGAGACAAAGGTAGGTTAGGTTAGGACCACCTTGTGAAATGCATTGTATAGCGTTCTTAATAGTTTAGACTTTTCCTTCTGTTGAGGATACAGAGATATTGAAGTTTGTTTTTGATTTGTTTTTTAGTAGACAGATGACATTTGTGTTTTAGAATGGCATTACACATGAAGTTAAGAATCTCAAAGTTTACCAGTTCCATACCTAAGATCACCCCTAAAAGACTATTTGGTGAGCGTATGGTTAACCCCATACCTTAAGCAGATTCAGTGACTTCCTAGAATGGATCCTTATAATCGCCTACCACTTTACTGGAAACATTGTTTTTATAGCATATTGTGACAAAAAATTAAAAATATCTTTATATACAAATACACTTCTGAAAAGTAAAATACTTTGTAAGTGGAGCAAGAATTCACTCTCAGTTTCAACAAAGAATCACAAAGCATACACAAAGAACAGGGAAATGTGGCCCATTCAAAGGAAAAAAAGTAAACCGATAGAAATTGTCTCTGAAAAATACTTGATAGCCTATCTATGAGACAAAAGCTTTAAAACGCTGTCTTAAAGATACCCAGATAACTGAAGGAAAATGTGGAAAAAGTTTAAAAAAAAATGTATGAAGAAAATGGAAATAACAATAAAGAGAAAACCTAAATAGAAGCTAGAAAGAAATTCTGAAATTGAAAAGTGGGGACTAACGGAGAGGAGAAACTCACTACAGAGGCTCCTTGATTTATAGTGAAGCTTGATAAACCCATGGTAAGTTGAAAATATTAAGTTGAGAAAGTATGTTTAATGCTTGGTAGCACAGCAGATGGTCTCTGACTTACGATGATTCAACTTAAAATATTTTGACTTGATGGTGGAAAGGTGACACTCAGTAGAAATCATAACTTCCTAAATCATAAGGAGCTCTTTGACTTACAGTGGGATTATGTCCAGATAAACTCATCATAAAGTTGAAAAATCATAAGTCAAACCCTCATAGGTCAGAGGCCATGGAGAGATTCGAAGATAGATTTGAGTAGGCAGGAAGAAGAATCAGTGAACTTGAAGATAAGGCAATGGAAATGATTGAGGAACAAACAGAACAGAGATTGAAGAAGAGAAAACAGAGCCTAAAGGACCTTGGAACGCCATCAATCAGACCAGCATATGCATTTTGGCAGAGAATATTTGAAGAAATAATGGTTGAAAACATCCCAAATTTGATGAAAAACATGAACACAAACATCTAAGAAGTTTAGTGAAGTCCAAGTAGGATGAACTCAAAGAGAACCACGCCAAGACACATTATTATCAAACTGCCTAAAATCAAAGAGAAAATCTTGAAAGCAGCAAGAGAGAAGCAACTCATCACATACAAGAAATCTTCAATAATCAGCTGATGTCTCATCAGAAACTTTGGAGGCCGGAAGGCAGTGGGCCAATATATTCAAAGTACTAAAAAGGAACAAAACTGTCAACCAAGAATTCTATGCCTGGCAAACTGTCCTTCAAAAGTGAGAGAGAAAGTAAGACATTTCCAGATAAATAAAAGCTAAGGGAGTTCACTAATAGACCTGCCCTGAAAGAAATGCTAAAGGAGCTCTTCAGGTTGAAATGAAAGGACACTAGACAATAATTTGAAGCCTGTGAAGAAATAAAGATCTCAGTAAAAGTAAATACGTGGGCAAGTATAAAAACTAGTGTTACTGTAACAATGGTGTTTAACTCCACTTTTTGTTTTCTACATGATTTAAGAGACTACTAGATTTTTAAAATTATTCTAAAAGCTAATGTTATTGTAACGTCACATTTTGTTTTCTATGTAATTTTTTTTTTTTTTTTTGAGACAGTCTCGCTCTATTCCCCAGGCTGGAGTACAGTGGCACAATCTCAGCCCACTGCAACCTCTGCCTCCCATGCTCAAGCAATTCTTCTGCCTCAGCCTCCCAAGTAGCTGGGATTACAGACGCCTGCCACCATGCCCAATTAGTTTTTGTATTTTTTTTAGTAGAGACAGGGTTGCCTTGTTGGCCAGGCTGGTCTTGAACTCCTGACCTCAGGTGATCCGCCCACCTCGGCCTCTCAAACTGCTGGCTGGAATTAAAGGCATGAGCCACTGCGCCTGGCCTGTTTTCTATGTAATTTAAGAAACTAATGCATTGAAGTAATTATTAGTTTATATATTTGGAGATACAAGGTACAAAGATATAATTTGGGGCTATCAACAACTGAAAGGGATGGGGTGGACATGTTAAAGGAGCAGAGTTTTTGTATGTTATTGAAGCTGGCATAAATTCAAATTAGAGTGTGATCACTTTAAGATGTTAAATGTAATTCCCCTGGTTACAAAAAAAAAAACAAAAACTAAAGAGCATACACAAAATGAAATAAAAGAATTTAAATGTTTCACTACAAAATAAAAGTCAACCAAACAAAAAAGAGTACTGTAGGAAATGAGGGACAAAAAAGCTCTAAGGCATGTAGAAAACAAATAGCCAAATGACAGATAAGTCCCTCTTGGTTAATAATGACTTTAAATGTAAATGGATTACGCCCTCTAATTGAAAGGTGGAAATTGGCAGAATGAATATATAACATATTCCAACTGTATGTTCTCTTCAAGAGACTCACTTTAGATCCAAAGATACAAACGGGGTAAAATAGAAAGGATGGAAAAGGATATTCTATGCAAATAGTAACTAAAAGAGAGCTAGGATGGCTATGTTAGTATCAGACAAAATGGACTTTAAATCTAAAAAGGTTACAAGAGACAAAGAAGGGCATTATATACTAATAAAAAGCCCAGGCCGAGCACAGATTGCACCTGTAATCCCAGCTACTCAGGAGGCTGAGGCGGGAAGATCACTTGAGGCCAGGAGTAGGAGACCAGCCTGAGTAACATAGCAATACCTCATTTATTAAAAAATAAAAAAATTAATATGTAGATACAATGGTTATAAACACTTAGGCACTTAATAACAGACAAAATATATGAAGCAAAAATTGACAGAATTGAGGGGAGAAATAGACAATTCTATAATAGTAGTTGGAGAATTATACCTAATATATACAGGACACTCTCCCCAACAAGAGAACACTACCCAACAACAGGATTGCATATGGGACATTTTCCAGGATAGACCATAAGTTAATGCCACAAGTTAATTTCAATAGATTATTTTAAGAGATAAAGTATCTTTTCTGATCACAAATGAAGTTAGAAAACAATAACCAAAGGAAATGGAAAATTCACAAAGTGTGGAAATCAAAGAGCACACTCTTAAATAACCAGTGGACCAAAGAAGAAAACACATAGGTAATTATTAGAAAATACTTAGAGAAAAATGAAAACAAAATGTGACAAAACTTATGGCACATGGTGAAAACAGGGCTAAGGAAGAATTTATGGTTATAAATGCTTATATTAAAAAACAAATATCTTAATCAAATTTTACACCTTAAGTATCTAGAAAAAGAAAAACAAACTAAACCCAAAGCTAACTGAAGGAAGGAAAATAAAGATTCAAGCAGAGAGAAACAAAATAGATAATAGAAAAGATCAATTTGGGTACAACCAACCAAAAGTTGATTCTCTGAAAGTACCAGAAAAATTCCTAGACCTTTAGCTAGCTAGACTAAGAAAAAAGAAGACTCA